CCCCAAAACCCCAAAACCCCAAAACCCCATAGACGCTGTAAATAACTGAAAATGGTTTGAATCTTTATTTTTGAATTATTTTAACTTGAGCTTGATAGTTTTGAGAACATTCTCTTTCTCACCTTTGGCCTTTTTTATCTTATTCATAGGAATCTCAACTCTTTCATGTTTGGCTTGAGGCGTGTCTCGAAGATCCTCGTTATGATCTTTTACGTACAAATCTGTCTTGGCCTAGGTATTATTTTCTAAATTACTTGGTTTTTATAGCTTTCATAGAGTTCCTGAATGTTCTGGCCTGAAGGATTCTCGAAGGCATAATTGTTCTTAATACCTTCAATTTCTCTGTCAGGAACCTCATCATTACGATGCTTTGAGCTTGTATGATAGTTATGCACCTGAACTTGGGAAGAAGCATGATCATATATTCCTTTCTTGTAATTTTCATAATTTGATTCACCTCTATAATTCTGGTAGTCTTGCTCTGAATCTCTGTAGTTATCCTTGCTCTGCTTGTTGTAAGGCATTATGGGAGTGTAGCTACCCTTAGGAACATTCTCTTCTTCACATTCTCTTTCATAATGTTCCTGACCCTTTTTGTAGTAATATTCTTCATCATCTCTAGGAGCTTGCTTATTTCTAGGATTGTAGTCAGCATATTTCTCATTTTGGAGTTTGTAATTCTGGTCTCTCGTGGGAGATACTGACTTAAAAGGACCTTTATCATAATCTTGACTGCTTTGGTTGGCCTTATAAGAGTATTTCTGGTACTCTTCATTATTCCCAAACCCAAATGTTGGCACCTCCTCTTCTTTTCTGGGGTAAGAACTAGTCCTTCTGTCCTTGTGGGAGGTATAATCATTTAGAATACTTGAGAAATAGTCTGATGACACATTTCGGACAACTATATTTCCAATTCTTTCAGCGAATGAGGTTAACACTTCTTGCTGGGCTGGTTGAAACTCAAAACTTAGAAGTTCTGGGTTTGCCATTTTGGCTCTTTTCTTTTGACTTCTTAATTTCTGTGTGACTACATCTTTGTAGTCTTGGTTGATCTTCCAAAGCTCTTTGATATGGATACCTGTTTCATCAACTCCTTCGACAACTTTTCCAAGTTCAACTCAAAAATTATTTAGTTTTATGTCAGCTTTTGGCTTCTTGGAGCCATTAGGAGCACCTAAAGCTTGCAGATTTTCGTGGCAGAGGTTTTCAATTTCAGAAATATGTCTATCTCTATCTTGAGCTAAGGCTTCTATAACTTGGTCATAATACTGCCTAATGCGAGCAATCTCTCTATCCTTTGCAGTAGTAATTTTTGTTGCGAGATTAGGGTCTTCCATTGATCCATCAGTTGGACCACTTTGGAGAAGTTGGTCAGCATGATTGATATATTCCTCCAATTTCTCCTTTACTTCAAGAACTTGGTATCCTGCCTTACTCTTGTTTGCAGCAAGGGCACAATGAGCACATCCAAGTTCACTATCATGATGCTCAGCAGTGAGAATGTAGAGTAACTTTCCATCTGGATGCTGTTTGCAATAGGCAGGGAGCTCTATTTCAGACATGTCGTAATTCACACTTTTATTTATTAAAGTTGAGTTCTGCGTTTAAATGCTCAGTCTCTTGAGGGTCGTTTTGGGCATAATGTGGGAGATTAATACCTCTGAAGTTTCTCTCAAAACCGTGAGAAGCACTCCTTCCATATTGTTTTTCTTCACGCTCTGACTCTCTCCTCTCATCTCTTTGTTGATGATTGACAAATGCTCTTTTGTGAATTCCTAAGTTTCTGTTGTATGACTTGCTTTGTGGCTTCTGCTTTCCAAAACTGTGAAATTCCTTCTTCTCAAGACTGTCATTATGAGGATTATTCTCGAAGCGGGAACTTCTTTGGAGAGGATCTCTATTCGGAGATTGACAAAAATCTTGTTGTGGAGCCTTAGCATTTAGCTGATTAAGCCGATCAGGGTTAAAATCATCATTACTTTTGAGAGCATCCTTGTTCATGAAAATTGGTTCATAACTTGAATATTTGTGGGCTTGGTCGTACTTATATTCTTTTTGAGAATCCCTATAATCTTTCTTAAGGTATGACTGGTGATAATTAATTTGTTCCGTTTGTTCTTCATACAACTTTTTCTCTTTGAGACTATCTTGAAGCTGCTTTCTTCTGTCTTCGACAGGGTACTCATCGAACCAGTGCTTACCAACTGATTTCACAGTGGGCTTAAGATGCTCTGGCTCATCTCTTCTATATCGATCATACTGTGCATAGTTTGACTTGTCTACGGGAGGATCTGTGGGTGTTTCTTGGGGTTGTTTCTGATCTGACTCTTCAGACTTTCTTGACATTTTAAAATTAAATTCTTTATTTCAAATTCAAACAAGAATACAGGGGTTTTGGGGTTTTGGGGTTTTGGGGTTTTGGGG